TGGCCTGCTGTGTTCATCCAGATCTACACCTTGTTATCTCTAAGACTAGTCAACTTAACATACACCAGTGATCAACTATGGCTTGGCTGGCTTTGAATGCATGTAAAACCTTTCTCAATTATTCTACCAGGCAACATATGCCACTGCAGCTTTTTTGATTATTAGTAGTAAAATTGGCATGAGTCCTAGAGTCACGTGGATAAATTGATTTGGGTGAGTGAAAGCATAAAATGTGGGTGACCATATAGCACTACTTACAATAGATTCTTAATTAAATTCTTCACTTTGGCGTTTAAACAGCTATTTACTGTTGTTTTTATGAAGTATGGAGTACAGTTTACAAATTGATTTAGCAATTGCCATGTCAGTGAAATATGATGCATTCTAAATTTACTAATACAGGACTTCCATGTTATGAGCATTATGCAGTATTGCAGGTGGGTAGTTCAGCTGGGTAGAGAGCGATGTTGAGGAAGGGTCACTGCACCCCAAATGCTAACTCTGATTTCTCTCCACAGATGCTGCCAGACGTGCTGAGCTTTTCCAACAATTTCTGTTTTGTTTATGTTTACTAATCCATTTGAAAATTGTCTTTTAACCCAAAATGTTTGAAAAGCACTCCACTAGGAAATGCCCTTCTGAGCTGGGGTTGGCATGAAAATTCAAATTGAAGTGAAAAAGAACCTTACTCTACATCTTGCCTATATTATAGGTAACTTTATTGTTTGATGCAAACAGTGGGTGTCAATCATTGTCAATCATTGTCATCTGTCCTGGATATGTAAAAATGAAGTATCACTTCTTCATACATTGGGTGTATTAACATACACATGTACAGAAAAACAATAACAAACACTTTAATGGGAAAATTTAACCTGTTGCTTTTGTTCGGATTTAAGAGAGAAAAATATCTTATATTTACAGAAGTTAATTATGTCCATTAAAGTGCAGATTTTGGGATGGATTTTACAAGTAGTCAAGACTACATGAACAATACTATTGGTACACTGTTATTACTCTAAAAAGTTATTGAAATTCAGATCATGTCACAGTCATTCTTGGAGAATTCATTTTGTAAATGACCTGTAATAACTAAGTCAAAATTTGCTCTGGTGAGGGAAATTAGATGGTATAAAATGCTTTGACTACTGAGTCTGCCTTCCCCAGCTTTATATCAACTTTTCATTTCTTTCAGTTCACCAAGTTCCAGCCACAAACAGACACATACCCCGCTGTCAAACCATTATTTGACAGAACTATTTTTACACGGCATATCATCAATTTCATGTAGATGAGATGGGTTTGAAGATGTCTAATTTAGGTTGTTGTAAAACCATAAGAAATATGAATAGGAGCAGGGTGTCTTGCCCATCCACCCTGCTTGGTCATTAATAGATCATTAACAGCTGATCCAACATTCCTGATGTTCATTTTCTTGTCTTTTCCCTGTTAAACTTGACTCCACCACTGATCCAGAACCTATCCATCTCAGCCCTAAATATACACAAAGGACTCTGCCTCAGAGGGCTGTGAGGACAAAGAGTTCCAAAGACTCTCAACCCACAGAGACGAAATTGCTCAGTCTTAACTGGGAGCCCCTAAATTCTGAGACCATGGTCCTGGACTCATGTCAGAAAACATCTTCTCAGCATTTACCCTATCAAGCCCCTTAAGAATCCCAGATGTTTCAATTAGATGACCTCTCAATTTTCTAAATTTCAATGAGTATAGTGCCTACCTGTTTAGCTTTTGCCCGTAAGACAATCCCTCCATACCAGGATCATCCCAGTGAACCTTCTCTGAAATGCCTCCAATGAAATATCTTGTCGTAAATAAGGGGACCAAAACTGCTCTCAATACTTCAGCACCTCATTCAGTTGTTGAAAGACTTCCATACTCTCATACTCCAAATCCCTTGAAATAACGGCCAACGTTTCATTAGCCTTCATAATTACCCGCTGTACCTGTATGCTAACTTTTGGTGTTTCTTGTACAAGTAACCCAAGTCCCTGCGTTGCAGCTTTCTACAATTTCTCTCCATTTAAATACTCTATTCTCCCTTACAAAATGAACAACTTCACATTTTCCGACATAATACTCCATTTGCCAAAATTTTGCCCACTCATTTAACTTATCAATATCTCTCTGTAAACTGTTTGTATCCCCCCCGTCAACTTGCCTTTCCATCTATTTTTGAGTCATCTGTAAATTTGACTACATTTGCTTCCTTCCTCCAAATCATCACAAGCAGCTGAAATTGTTAAAATAGTCATGGTTAGGAAGAGTTAATATTTCCAGTCAAGATCAATCGCTTGAGCAGAAACACTGACTGTTTCTCTCCATAGATGCTGCCAGACCCACTAAGTAATTCTAATATTTTTGTTCCTATCTCAGGTTTCCAGCATACTCACTAGTTGCATTTGTACAATTGTAGCTAAGCCCATTCTGGCATTCAATTAGATCATGACTGATCTGTGACCTAATTCTTTTTTCCCCCTAACAATGCTATCCCTTTAGAAACAAAACAAAAACAGAATTCAATTTACAACCGATAGTAATTCTTGCTCTATTTGTGGAAATGTGTTCAAATTTTCTCTAACCTTTGATTCCACATCTCACCAAAATGTCTACCTCAATTTTTTTTTAGACTGGGGCCCCCGACCTCCCAGTCACAAAATATAGTTTCTATCGCTCCTTTCTGCTCCCTTAATATTTTGAAAACTCTGATCAAATCATCCCTTAACCATCTCAGTTTCTGTGAATACAACCTTAGTTTGCATATCACTCCTTGTAATTTATCCAATGGAAGGTAGAATCATTCTAGCAAATCTACAGTCATGCCTGCTGAGACCTGCATTGGTTTTCTTTAAAGGCGAGGTGGCAAAACTATACATAGAGGTTCATTAGGCACAGCCCACCTTTATAGTTGTACCATTCTGTTTAACTAAAATGTTCAAGGAACTCAGCCACCTATCGTTATGTACAAATTTAAGCAGTTTTCTCATAAGAGATATAAAGTTAATTGGTCTATAGTTTCGTGTTTTACTCTCGCACCTTTTGATAACCTTCCCCAATAATATCAGCGTCTTGAAAATGTCAGTTGACCCAGCATACCCACATTCATTAAGGGTGAAAGTGACACACAGAACAGCAGATTTCAGCACTTTGTGTAACAGTCGATTTGCTACTTTCAATGCTGAAAGGCCTGGCTCTAATTTGAAGACGGCCTCTCCTATTGTCCCCTGTCCAGTACTTGTTAAACGTCCCCAAAGGGCACACAGATCGGGCCTGCAGCTCTACCTGATGAGGATCCTGCACAAGGTTCTTAAACTATGGACTCCGTGTGATAGGCAGGCGACAGACAGGACCGGGAGGCGAACCATGACCTCCCTGTCTCTGAACATATCGCAGAGGAAAGCGCTTCGGTGGCTAACTCGCCACCCACCCTCACTGCTAGCCCGAGCCGCAGACATTACCTGACGACCACTTTCCGCCTCCATCCTCCCTCCACGGGCGAACTCTTCACGCATGCGTCAACGGCACATGTCACCGCCTTAGTGTCACGTGTCTGCGGTGTGTTAGACGGTGACCGGAACAGCTCTGCATAGCATTCATATTGGTAAAGGAGAAGGAAATCTTCGCGGGGTGCATGGACCGCTTGGCGGCCATTTTTGTGCAGGGGAAGGATTCCCTTGACCTTCTTGGTAAGGTGAAGACACAACGGAGCTGAAACGCTTGATGGCCATTTTGGTAAAGGAGGAGCAGCGGGCTGGCCATCCTGGTAAAGGAGAGGGTGCAATGTACCAGCCCAAACCTGGGAGGTTACATTCACCAGAGTTTCAGATAACTTAAGACTTTTCATTCGAATTGAATTGTGAAGCAAACAGATACCACGTGACATTTTTGAGGTCTTTGAAATCAAGCTTGTAGATGGATTTGTCTGCTGCTGATCACAAATCTGCTCCTATATCTCTACAGTTCTGAGGAAGGGTCATCAGACCCGAAACATTAACTCTGTTTTGTCCTCCACAGATGCTGCCAGATCTGCTGAGCTTTTCCAGCAACTTTGTTTTTATATCTTTACACATTTGTTCTTAAAGATGTCGCATAGGTCTTTTTTTTGTGTACTACGAAACATTAACCAATTTCATATCCCTATTAGTCATCATCATCATCAGCGGTCCCTCACAGATGAGGATGACTCTCAATCATTCTCAGGTTGAGTACATAGGTCGCTGTACAGACCGATGTTATTAACTCATGCTCTGTTACACTTGGATCACTTCACCTGACAAAGAAGCAGCGCTCCAAAAATTGTGATTTCAAATAAACCTGTTGGACTATAATCTGGTGTCGTGTGACTTCACACTGGGCAGGTGACAGTCACAGGAAGGGGTGGGTGGGGCATTGGTGTGGCAGCATGCTTCCTTCACTGTTTTCATCTGATTTCCATTTTTTCCTGATGGCAAGTCTCAAGGTGTTTGGCACCTTCCCAGATGTCCCTCCTCCATTTTGGACGGTCTTGGGCCAGTGATTCCCAGGTGTCCGTGGGAATACTGCACTTTGCCAGGTGAGGCCTTGACGGTATCACTGAAGCGCTTTCTCCGACCACCCGGCGCTCACCTGTCGTTTCAAAGCTGGGAGTAGAGCACTTGCATGGGGATTCTCGTGTCAGTCATGCAGACGACTTGCCCAGCCCATTGTTGCTGATCAAGGGTGGTCAGTGCCTCGCTGCCGGGGATGTTGGCCTGGTCAAGGATGCAGGTGTTTGTGTGTCTTACTTCCCAGCGGATTAGCAGGATCTTGTGCAGGCACCATTGGTGGTACTGCTGTCATGCCTTGAGGTGTCTGCTGTAGACAGCCCACGTCTCAGCGCTATATAGGAGGGCAGGAAACACCACAGTTTTGTAAACCATGACCTTGGTGTCGCGTCTGATGTTGTTGTTCTTGAACACCCTTTTCCTCAGGTGGCTGAAGACTGCTAGCACACTAGAGGCAGTGCTGGATCTCTTCATCAATAACTGCTTTGGCTGACAGGACTCTTCCAAGGTATTGGAGGTGGCCAGTGTTCTCTAAGGCCTCCTCATGACCCTTGATGATCAGGGGTTTGCTCCACAATGGCAGGCCAGGTTGATGAAGAAACTTGGTCTTGCAGATTGTGGGTGAGACCCATGCTCTCATATGCCACTGTAAAGGTGCTCACGATGGTCTGGACTATGTCCTCGGAGATTGCACATACACAAGCATCATGTGCGTACTGCAGCTCGATGACACTGGTTGGGTTTACTTTGGTTTTGGCTTGAAGGCGGCAGAGGTTGAACAATTTCCCACCGTTACCGACTCCAGCTACCTCTCCAGAGGGAATCTTGTGAGCGGTCACATCGCAGTGAGGTAGATCGAGAACAGTGTTGGGGCAAAGATGCAGCCCTGCTTGACAGCAGTACTGACCTGTTGGGTATGTTTCCATTGCATGCAAAACAATGAAAATAGGCTCATAGAAACAAGTAGCTGGAGTCGGTAACTTAGCCCTTTGAAACCTGTTCTGCCATTCAATATGATCACGCCTGATCCTCTATCTCAATGCCATATTCCCACTTTCCCTCCATACTCCTTGATGCTTTTAATATCTAAAAATTTATAAGTCTTTTGAATATACTTATTGACCTGGCCTCCACAGTCTTCTGTGGTAACAAATCCCACAGGTTGACCACATTCTGAGTGAAGAAATGCTTCCTCATCTCAATCCTATATGGCCTGCTCCCTTATTCTAAGACTGTGATCTTTTGGTTTTAGAGTCCCCAACTGGGGTAAACATCCTCCCTGCATCTAGTGTGTCTATCCCCGTCAGAATTTTATCAGTTTCAATCAGATCCCCTCTTATTCTTCTAAACTCTAGTGAATACAGGCCCAGTAGAACCAAATAAAAACCAAAAGAACTGCGGATGCTGTAAGTCAGAAACAAAAACAGAAGTCACTGGAAAAGCTCAGTAGGTCCGGCAGCATCTGTGAACTGAGGAAGGGTCACTAGACCCGAAACGTTAACTCTGATTTCTCTTCACAGATGCTGCCAGACCTGCTGAGTTTTTCCAGCAACTTCTGTTTTTCAGTGTAACCAATCCCTCCTTATAGAACAATCCTGCCATCCCCAATTTCAGAGTTGTGAACCTTTGCTGAAATTCCTCTATGACAAGTATATCTTTTTGGTAGTGAGACCAAAACAGCACATAATATTCCAAGTGTGGGTCTCACCAAGGCACTGAAAACAGAAAAATGGTGGAGATCACAGAGGGTCAGGCAGCATCCATGGAGAGAAAGCAAGCTAATGTTTCGAGTCTAGATGACACTTCATCAGATTTGATGTGAAGTGTGGAGGGAACAGCATTTATGGGGGCAGGGGGTGGAGAGGTTGAGGGAGTGTTGGGGGGGTGGGCGGGGTGTGGTTGGAGTGCTAGGGAGGAAGGATGTTGATAATTCAGATTGAGTAATTGGAATGTGAGAATGGCAGAACAATGGTGTGTCTAACTGCCAGACTGGAATTGCAGTAGGAAATCCTTACTATAAACACAAATCCTCTTGCAATGAAAGCTAAGACACCATTTGCCTTCCTAATCACTTGCTGCATTTGTCTGTTTACTTTAACTAACTGGTGTACAGACACCCAGCTCATTTGTACATCCACATATAATACTGTTCCTCTCTGTTTTTCACACCAAAATGTGACCACCAGATATGACCTCTGCAAAAGTGATAGCAAGAACTGCAGATGCTGGAGTAAGAGTCAACACAGTGTGGAGCTGAAGGAACACAGCAAGTCAGGCAACATCAGAGGAACAGGAAAGTCAATGTTTCGGGTCAGGACCCTTCAACATCGGGACTGATGTACTGATAGAGTGTCCCTACCAGAAAAGTCGACTTTCCTGCTCCCCTGATGCTACCTGACCTGCTGTGTTCCTCCAGCTCCACACTGCATTGAGTATGACCCCAGCAAAGCCATCAGAGATGCCAAGAGGCAGTACCGGACCAAGTTAGAGGCTCAAATCAACCATACGGACACCCGCTGCTTGTGGCATGGCCTACACAACATAACGGGATACAAAATGAAGCACAGCACAAAACCACACCCCTCCCTGTTGCACTCAATGCTTTTTTATGCTCGGTTTGAGCAGACTGCCAGTGGCGCGGTGTCACCTGCCCCAACAGCCCCAGACGCACCTGTTCCCTTCATAACCCAGGGAAAGCATTGGACCCAGATGGAGTCCCTGGCCGTGTGCTTAGATCCTGTGCAGACAAGCTGGCGGAGGTATTCACTAACATCTTCAACCTCTCCATCTTACAAGCCAAAGTCCCCACCTACTTCAAGATGACCACCATCATTCCAGTACCAAACAAAGCACACGCAACATGCCTTATTGACTATGGCCCAGTGGGTCTGACTTCCATAATTATGAAGTGCTTCAAGAGGCTGGTCATGACCCACATCAACTCTAGCCTTAATCCCCTCTAATTTGCCTACAGATGAAACAGGTACACAGTGGACACCATTTCCCTTGCCCTACACTCATTTCTGGAACATCTGGATAATACAGACACTTAGGTCAAACTCCTACTCATCGACTAGAGCTCCGCCTTCAACACCATAATCCCTTCCAGACTAATCTCAAAACTCCGAGACCTAGGTCTCGGCTCCGCCCTCTGCAACTGGATCCTCAGCTTCCTGACCCACAGACTGCAATCATTGAAGATGAACAACAGGACCTCCTCCACCATAACCCTCAACACTGGAGCACCCCCAAGGATGCGTTCTCATTCCCCTACTGTACTCCCTTTACACCCATGAATGTGTACCCAAATTCCAAATGAACACCATCTACAAGTTTGCTGATGACACCACCATGGTAGGATGGATATCAAACAACGATGAGTTGGAATACAGAAAGGAGAGAGACGCCTTGGTGTCATGGTGCAATAAGAAAACCTCTCTCTCAATGTTGGCAAAACAAAAGAACTGATTACTGACTTCAGCAAGATAGGAGGAGGACACACCATCATCTGCATCAACAGGGCTGAGGTGAAGAGGGTCGAGAGCGTCAAATTCCTAAGAGTGATGAAAACCGACAACCTGTCTGGGACTTCCCACATAGATGTGATGGTCGAGAAGATACAGCAACACCTCTTATTACTCAGGCAATTTAGGAAATTTGGCATGTCCATAAGGACCCTCACCAACTTTTACAGATGCACCATAGAAAGCATACTATCCGAGTGCGTAAAGCCTGGTATGGCAACTGCTGTGCCCAGGACCAGAGGAAACTATAGAATGTTGTGCGCACAGCCCAGGCCATCACAGAAGCCAACCTCCCATCCATGGACTCCATTTATACTTCTCGTTGCTGCAGAAAGGCTGCCAACATCATCGAAGACCCATCTCACCCCGGCGATGCTCTCCTAAAACCTCTTCTGTCAGGCAGAAGATACAGAAGCTTAAACACATGCACCAACAGGTTCAAGAACAGTTACTTCCCTCCGTTATTAGGCTGCTGAAAGG